TGTAGGAGGTGGGGGGAGATGAGGATCAAGGGGCCGGGAGCACATTTTGGTGTCCTCTATCCTGCGCATGGTGGTGTCCACAAACACCGTCTCGTCCTCCACCATGCGCACCTGGTAAAACGAGGGAGCAAGAAGTCATAAGAGGAGGAAGGGGTTTGGGGAGATGAGAATAATGGAGCCCCGAGGTCGTTCCCTCAATCGTGCGCAGCAAGTAAGGGATCACCTGTAAGCCCAGGTCTCTCCCTTGGTGTGTAATGAGTCGATTTTTGAGTCGACTCAAAAAGCAAGTAAGGCATCACCTGTAAGCCCAGGTCTCTCCCTTGGCACCCCATGCGGTAGGCTGAGTGCACGGCATCCGGCAGGCCCCTGGATATGGCCACCAACTTGAGGTTAAACAGCAGCCCGTCCAGCTGCAGCATGTGTGTGCACCAGGTCGGGCTTGTCAGAGCGGGAGAAGACTCGCCAGGTCCGGCTATCTGCGAGGGAAGGGACTTACTTACTTACTTACTTACTTACTTGCAAGCCCAGGTCGCCCCCGTGGTACCCCATTCTGTAGGCTCAGCGCACGGCGTCTGGCAGGCCTCTGGAGATGACCACCACCTTGAGGTTGCACAGCAGCGCGTCCAGCTGCAGCATGTGCACCAGGTGCCCCTCCCCCACCCACAGCACCCAGCGACCTCTTTCCCACACTCACCTGCAGGCTCAGGTCGCCTCCGTGTACCCCATGCGGTAGGCTGAGTGTACGGCATCCGGCAGGCCACCAACTTGAGGTTGCACAGTAACCCGTCCAGCTGCAGCATGTGCACCAGGTGAGGGTGCGGCTGCCTGTGATGGCTGGCACTCACCCCTTTGTCGCAAGTAAGAGACTCACCTGCAGGCCCAGGTCGCCTCCATGGTATCCCATCCTGTATGCCGATCTAACAGCGTCAGGCAGGCCCCTCGATATCACCACCACCTTGAGGTTGAACAGTAGCCCGTCCAGCTGCAGCATGTGCACCAGGTCCGGCCGAGCCAGCGGCGTCCGAACCCGACCCAGAGGGTAGGAATCGCGGGCGCGCAGGTATGGGGCTGGCATGTGGGATTTCGGGAGGGGGATTTGTGGGGGGGAGGGGGGGGGATGGAGGCATGGGGGGGGAAGTGATTGAAGAAGAGCGGAAGGAGGAGAGGGGAGTGGAGCTCAGGAGAGGGTCATGGGAAAAAGAGGGTCATGGGAAAAAGAGGGTCATGGGAAAAAGAGGGTCATGGGAAAAAGAGGGTCATGGGAAAAAGAGGGTCATGGGAAAAAAGAGGATCATGGGAAAAAAGAGGATCATGGGAAAAAGAGGGTCATGGGAAAAAGAGGGTCATGGGAAAAAGAGGGTCATGGGAAAAAAGAGGATCATGGGAAAAAGAGGGTCATGGGAAAAAGAGGGTCATGGGAAAAAGAGGGTCATGGAGGAAAGGAGATTGATGGAGGGTGATGGAGGAATGGAGATTGGAAGAATGGATGGAGGGGAGAGCGGGAGCGAGAAACCTCAACGTACAGTTGCCAATCTCTGCCAGCCGCACCGCCATCTCCTTGGCATAGGCTCGCAGCGGGCGAGCATAGGGCAGACGGGGACAGCTGGTGGTGGCGGGAGCAAGGGGGGAGAGAGGAGAGGGGAGGGGAGGGGAGGCGAGGGGAGGGGAAAAAAATATCGAGCGAACGAACGAGCTGAGACATTAGAAGGCGCGCAGGTGGCGAGCATAGGGGCAGACGGGGACAGCTGGTGGTGGCGGGAGCAAGGGGGGGAGAGGAGGGAGAGGTGGGGGGAAGACGTGGGGGGGAGGAGGAAAGAAATCAGCAGAAAGCAGCAGAAGAGGGGCATAGGGCAGACTGTGACCGCACATTACCACACTAAACCGACCATCACCGCACTGCACCAGGTCTCACCGTGCATCCACGCCATGGACGTGTGTTTGCGTTTCCTCCGAGGTGAGATGGAGCAGCGGCTCGAACGCCACCACTGCAAGGCGCACAAGGGGGAGTGAGGCAAAGCAAGAAAAAGCAAGGGAGAACCGCAACTTTTGAGGTGCACATTTCGAGCCCTACCACACACACACACGCGGTAACTCACCGCTGAAGTTAACTTTCTTGATGTTCCGAAACACCTGTTCAAAGAACTTATGCCCGGACCCCTCGATCCCCGCAAAGAACACCACCAGCGGAAGCTCGTCCCCCGCTCCGCCGCCCTCCCCCTCCCCGCCCGCGCTAGTCCCATTCTTTCCCTCCGCGGACCCCCCCGCGCCCCCCGCTCCCGCCGCAGCTTCCCCGTCCGCAGGCTTGTCTTGCGCGTAGAAGTGCTTCGCGCTATGCGCGACCGCTTTCATGTCTATTCTGGGGCGGCAAACTGGAGGACGCATCGGACACCGCTCGTGGAAGCGCTTCTTAAGATGCTCTAATAAGGTTGCTTGGCCGCCGGCGCCGGCGCCGCCTAAACCTAAGCCTGAGATGTCGCTGTGTTGAAGCGACCCTTCGTGCGACATTGCGACGTCTTGGATGTAGAGAACCGTCGCTGCGACGACCCAGACGACGAAGATCTGTGCCACGGCGAATCGCACGACGGGCCGTCGCCAGAGCTGCTGGATCGGACGGAGGAGATTCGACGGCCGGGATTTCGTGTGGGACGGGCTGGCGTCATCGGAGCCGTCGTCGGCATCTAGGATTGCATCGAAGGGATCTATTCCGTCGTCGTGATTGGCTGAGCGACGAAGAGCGGATCCAGGAGATTGAGTCAGGCTCTCCTTGACTTCCATGATGCACTCCTAGGAGAGCAGCTATTCGTGGCGGATTATACGGCTGAATTACCGACGTAATGTCCTGAAGACGAGGCTAACTGTCGAATTATAAACTAATTTCCTACTTCTCTCAAGTGGAACGCACGGCGAGCGAGAAGGGTGCAAAGAATCTTAGAAATTGGGGTGGATTAGTTGAATGTGGCGATGTGAGGGCGCCATACGTGGGACAGGCCTCAAGATGAGAGCATCAATGGAACACCATGGATTTGCATGAGGCAAGGCCAATGGGAATTATGAAATCTAGGTTGGTGATGATGATGAGGTGACGGTGGAAAGTTACTAATGGTCCTCCATATAGGCTGTCCGTTATGGATACAACTCCCACCTCATCTTTTAGCGCCAAAATTTCGTATAACTTGCGGTAATTTCGAACTGCGTCTCATGTCTGTAAGGAAATTTCCTTTTCCTTACTGGGCTCGACTAGTTGCAAGCCAGGAGGAGTTTGACGAGTTGCAAGCCAGGGCGGCTACAGTGACGACACTGCATGCCCAGCTTCAACAACTCGCGGATAAATTCGAGTCGCTGGGAAGCGAAGTTCAGACGCTGCGCAACGAAAACTCGTCACTTCGTCAGACGCGGGGTGAAATGCGTCAGGAGCGGCCTGTTACCCGAGACGAAGATGCTGCGAGCGAAGCGAGGGCGTCGGCGACACCTGAAGCAGTTGAAGAAGTCCACTGCGAATCGCGGGCAGCCATTAAAATCAAGCCTCCGATGCCCCCACCGTTCAACCCGATCGACACGACAACTACAATGAGCGGGTGGCTGTTCGCCATGGAAATCTTCTTCACGGCAAACAAGTATTAATGATAATGCACCATGTGTCAACTTGGCTGTGTCACTGCTGAGGGGACCAGCACTCGACTGGTGGCACATGCATCTAGACGAGGGAGGAGCCCCGGCAGGGAATCAACGGGCGGCAGATGGGGAGATAAATTCATCAACGGCGAAGGCAGAACCAATCTTTGGACCGGCCACGATCCGCACGTGAAAAGCGTGGGGCGAAGCGTTGAAGGGCAGATTTGAGCACATATCCATGCGCGAAAATGCTCGCACAAAGCTTCGGATGTGGAGACAGTTGGGCTCTGTCCAAGAATACACGGCGTCGTTTATGGCAATCTGCGACCAAATCGGAGGGATTAGCGAAGACGAGAAAATCGATCGCTACGTGGGTGGTCTCAAGCCGGAGATTCAGCAAGAGATAATCCTGCGAGCCCCGACGAATTTCAACAAAATCGTTTGCATCGCGGACGCGCTGGACGCACGACATGGACTCGCGAGAGCGGGTTTCCAGGAGGGAAATCGCTTTTGAGGCCAGCCCTAACACACATCAATCAACGGTGTGGACGCGTTTGCAGCCCGAGTATTTTTGGGGACTTGCTTCCAAGGCAATCAGCCGGGTCACATGGTGGGGGAGAAGCTGGCCCGCAGCTGAAGAAGAACTTACCTAACGACAAGAAGCAGTCGAGAAATGGAGATCGCCAGTAGCAGATGTGCCACCTACTGACTTGACTGCGTCGCCCAAACGCCACCACCCCCACCAGGTTATAGTGCCGATTTGGGCTATCGACCATTCCTAGCTGAATAAGGGGGGTGAACCGGTTGATCACCCTATGCTGGTTGAAGGGAGAGTTGGCGACACCCGCATCAAAATATTCATTGATGGCCGGGTGAGCCACAGTTTGATGGACGTGACGAAGGCGAAAAAATTGCGACTGCAACTGGAGCGCTGCATGCCTGAAATCGACGCGAGATTGGTCGACGGCACACCCCTGGCAATTCGGGAGCGAGTGCCTCACGTTCGAGTAACCTGCGGCGAAAATTTCAGTTTCACGTCGAAGATGCTGGCGACGACTTTGGATGGCTGCGACATGCTCCTGGGACGAGATTGGCTACGCGAATACAACCCGAGCATCGACTGGAGGATGGGCGATTGTCGCATAAAATGGAGTGGCGAGTGGCGACGACTACCCAAGTAGAGCTGTCAAGATTCGACCACGTCGACGGTCAGCACGGTGACGATCAAGCGAGCTATGATTTGAGGGGCGCAACTATATGCCGTCCGATAGATCGCATCAACGGCTGTCGACACGCCAGCCGACATCGACAAACTTTGCGCAGCTCTCCCGGATGAATTAGCGATGGTGCTTCGAAAACACGCCGACATTTTTTCCAGACGACCTGCTTGCGGGTTTGCCACTTGAGCGCGACCACGACCACAAAATCGAGTTGGAGCCCGGCGCGCAACCGATTGTTCGGACTCAATGGCGGTTGACTCAGCCCGAGCTAGATGAACTTCGATGCCAGTTGGACTACCTGCTTGAGAAAGGTTTCGTTCGCCCTAGCACTTCCCCATTTGCAGCTCCGATCCTGTACACCCCGAAGAAAGATGGCGGTCTACGAATGTGTATTGACTACCGCGCATTGAATCGGGTTACCATCAAGTCCCGCTACCCTATCCCGCGTGCCGACGAACTCATCGACCAACTTTGTGGAGCCAAGTTCTTTTCGAAAATTGACCTGCGAGGCAGTTACCATCAGATCCGCGTGAACGAAGCTGACTATTACAAGACGGCGTTTCGGACCCGGTACGAAAGTTATGAGTACACGGTTATGCCATTTGGCTTGACAAACGCGCCTTCAACGTTCCAGTTAGCCATCAACGAACTTTTTTGGCCGCTGCTGTATAAATGCGTTATTGTGTACCTCGACGACATCGTGATCTACAGCACTACCTGGGAACAGCATTTGAAGGATTTGGAAGCAGTTTTCTCTCTCCTGCAGCAGCACCGATTCATCACAAAGGGATCTAAGTGCGAGTTTCTCAAACATGAACTGGAGTTTTTGGGACACGTCATTTCCATCGATGGCGTTACAATCGACAAAAAACAATCGCGACAATCCAAGACTGGAAGCTGACGGCTAACCTCCATGAACTTCAGAGTTTTCTGGAGTTTGTGAATTACGTTCGCCGATTCATCCCGAACATGGCGGGGGTAACTTCCCCTCTCACGGATCTCCTGAAGAAAGGCAAGTTTTATGAGTGGGGGGGAGAGCAGTAGGCTGCGTTCGAACAGTTCAAACTTTTCCTGACTACACTTCTGGTTCTTCGAATTGCAGATCCTCACCGTCCGTTCGAGCTCATCACCGACGCTAGCGACCTGGCTGTTGGCGCATTACTGTTACAAGACTTCGACGAAGGCCTTCGACCCATCGCCTACGAGTCACGAAAGCTGAACTCGGCCGAGCGAAATTATCTTGTCCACGATCGGCGGAATCCAAATGGAGAGCAGGGTGAGACACGTTGCGAGAGGGAGAGACGCAACGAGAGTTGGAGAGGTGCGGGGTGAGAAGAAGAGATGCGGCGTGGAGGAGAGTGGCACGTCTAGATAGAGAGAGGCGGAGGTGCAAAGAGGGAGAGAGTGGCACAACGGGAGAGAGAGAGGCAGAGCAACGCACACGAGAGAGAGGGGCGCTGTGAGAGTACGACCCCGTTCCATTCCTTTCTCCTTTCCATTTCATTCCTCTTTTTTATCTTGATTCATCTGGTCTTTCTCTCATTCCATTTGGATTCCTATTCCTTCTTTTCCATAAACCTTTGGTTTATCCTGTTATTATCCTTATATCACTGACCTGGCTCGGGATGTACTGGTGCGCTATATCTAGCGTAGTCCTGCCGTAATCCCTTAAAGCCAATAGCCTCGCGTGGCTATATGCAGGGTGATTCTATCTTCTAAAAGGGTCTATTCCCTTGGGATAAGATAAACCTGGTTACCTGATGTACTTTGGAAGTATAAAAGCACCTTGTATCAATCGATAGTGCAACCTTTCCTCGACACATTCGATTCAGTAACACTTGGTAATCAGAGCTTTTCTCACTCGACCGCGCTCAGCTAAGCAGCAGCAGCAGGGGATCCTGCCTCGAAAAACCGCCGGGGGTGACCAATTCGATGCCGATTCTGGTAAGCACCAGCTCCGCGTTTTTTCGAATTACCCCCTCCGCGCGTGTTTTGAACAGGATGGCGAACTTCGACAACGCCGAAGTTACCAGCAGCTCTTCGCGCGCATCGCAGCCCTACAGGAGGAGATGCGAGCCGACCGCAAAGCTTGGCGAAACGAGTTTGAGCGAGTAACTCGACTCGCCGGCGTGCAACACAAAACGACAACGGCGACGACGCAGCAATCGCAGCAATTTCTCGAGGCTCCGAAACCGCGCCCACCTGAGCCGTTCGATCCGAGCGATCGAAACTCCGACGTCCGCAGATGGATCGCCGGCATGGAGATCTACTTCGCAGCCGCCGGATGGAGCTCTACTTCGCCAGTCTGGGACGGTCAACGCGTACGATTCGCGGCGATACTGATGCGAGGGCCGGCACTCGAGTGGATCGGCGGTAACAGCACCTTCATCCACGGCGAAGCCACGTGGCAGCAGTTCCGCACCGACCTGCTAAAACGTTTCGAGCCGATACATTCGGGTTTCCTTGCCCGGGAAAAAGATCATCGGCATCGACAGTTCGGGAGTGAAGCACAGTACACGCAGCAGATGGAGGAATTTTATAACCGCATTCCCGACCTGACCGAAGGGGAAAAAGTACAATCGTACCTCGCCGGGCTGAAGACCGAAGTCAAACGACAAGTGGGAGCGACAAACTACGCGAGCTACGGTGACGTCGTATCGGCCGCGGAACGCTTCGACATGGTCAACGCCGGGACACGACGGACGCACGTCGGCAGTACGCGACAGGGCGACCGCTCGGCTCACACCACGTTTGCCGACCCGATGGAAGTCGACAGGTTCGAAGGGCGGCCACGTCCGAAAAACACCAACTACACGTGTGATTTCTGCGGGGTGCCGGGTCATCGAATCTTCGACTGCAACAAAATGAAAGCCGCACGCGCTGAGTATCGAGCACGCAACAGTGGCGGAAATCCTTCGGCCAATCAGAAGCCAAGAGATGGAGCTCGCCAGTGATTGCGGATCTAGCTGGCGAAAAGGGAAAGATCTGAAAGCGGCCGCGGACTTCCGGAAAAATCAACTTCGACGCAGCTAATTCGACGCGAACAGGAGAAAATGATGGGGACAAAACTCCACCCCACGACCAGTCTTTGCCAGAGGAAATCGCTGAGGAAAAGTCTAACTCCGCGAAAAAGGACTCTGCCAAGATAGGGAAACTCCTTGAAGACCCAAGAAATTATAAGGATTCGTTAAAGTTATCTTACAAAGATGCTTTAATGAAAACTTGTAATTCTCGAGGGGCTAGAGCCTTGGAGAAATTTTGGGAGGGACTCCAGAAGAAGCAAAAAATTGTGGAGATCGTACCGGTACCGGAGAACTTGGGGACCAAATTAAGGAGTGTGGAAAGAAGCCGACCTGTCCACGGAGTCAACGTCCTCTCCCGACACCAGCCCACAGCGACTACCCGTTCCCCAGGGAAGACGTCGGTGGAGCTGGAGCAGCTCAAAAGGAAGCTGGGGGTCTACAAGAAGCTGCAACAACCCCGAACTCCTTCTTCGGATGCATCCAACTCGGCAACTTCGTCAACGACACGAACAGTCATCACGCAAACTCCGAGCCTAGGAGAAGAGCCTTTCTCCAAGCAGCCTCGGCCAGCTGCCAGCTAAGGAGTAGGAAGCAACGAATATTGGGATGTACCCTATGACCCAATCAATGAAACTATTTTTGGGTACTCCGAGCAACGCCTGCCCCTCGTGCTCGAGGTCATCTGCAAAGGACGACGCCTCCAAGCACTCGTGGACAATGGAGCATCGCACACTATATGCGACAAGGCAACCATCGACCGACTTCGAGAAGAGTACAAGCCATCAACGTTTTCGGCAACGATGGTGGACGGCAGCAAGTTACCAGTGTACGGCGAAGCAGTGCTACACCTACAAATCAGTCCACTGCGCTGGAAACCTACTCTCCCCATCACCAACATAAAAGGGCTTGACCTGATCTTCAGGCGAGACTTCCTCAAGAAATTCAACCCCGAGATCAACTGGGTAAACCGCACCGCAAGCATCTACAACAAAGGAAGGAGAGTCCGGCTACCCAACTGGGACGATACAGGAGATATCCCAGTGTAGACAGTCGCCAGATTTGAGAAGGACGTGAAACAAACCGACACCGGGTTCCTGGCGATAGCAATAGAGGTGGAGAATGACGGAGAGAAAGCCTCGGAACTTCAAGAAAAAATCAAGGACTTACTGAAGGGGTTCCAAGACATTCTTCCCGACGATCTCCCGGACGAACTATCGCCATACCGAACGCACCAACACGAGATCGTGGAGGAACCAGGTTTGAAACCGACCTTCCGAGCACCATATCGGCTAAGCCCCACAGAACTAGCCAACATGAAGAAGCAGATCAAGTATCTCCTCGCCAAAGGACTCATCCAACCATCCACTTCGCCATACGATGCCCCAGTACTCTTCACACCGAAACCGGACGGAAGCCTGCGGATGTGCATCGTCTACCGAGCTCTCAACAAGCAGACCATCAAGAACAAATACCCGATACCACGAATCGATGAACTGCTTGACCAGCTTCGGGGAGCCACGGTATTTTCAAAACTAGATGTGCGGTCCGGATACTGGCATATAAGAATGGCGGACGATTCCGTTCACAAAACTGCTTTCCGAACTCGGTACGGATCGTACGAGTATTTGGTCATGCCGTTCGGATGCACCAACGCACGTGCAACATTCTAAGCTGAGATGAATCATATCCTATGCCCACTCTTGGACGAATGCGTGGTGGTGTACATGGACGACATCCTCATCTACTCGCGTGACATGCAACAATTCGTCGAGCACCTATGACGCATCTTCGAAATTCTTCGACGAGAACGCTTCTACGTCAAACTATCCAAGAGCGACTTCGCCCTCGAGAAGGTCCAATTCCTCGGACATATCGTAAGCGCTCAAGGAGTTCACGTCGACCCCAAGAAAATCGAAGCCGTGCGTACGTGGAAGACACCCGAGAACGTGAAGGAGTTACAGCAGTTCCTTGGCTTTGCTAACTACCACAACAGGTTCGTGCCACAAACGCGAAGATCGCCACGCCACTCACGAATCTGCTAAAGAAGAACACGCCCTATAAATGGGAGCCACAACACCAGGAAGTCGTGGAGCAGCTGAAAGAAGCACTCACGTCCGCACGCGTACTCATCTTGCAGACCCCGAACGCGACTACGTCATCGAAGCTGACGCCAACGACCAGGCAGTGGGAGCAGTCTTGATGCAAGACCAGGGGAATGGCCTGCAACCAATTGCCTACCTCAGCAAAAAATTACATGGAGCAGAACTCAACTACCCGATACACGACAAGGAGGCCCTTGCCTTCATCATCGCCTTCAAAACGTGGAGATGTTATCTCGAAGGGCGCAAGACGACAGTCTACACCGACCATTGCGGCCTAAAATATTTGAAGACGCAACCAAGCCTCTCCAGGCGGCAGGTCCGGTGGATTGACTTCCTCGAGACACACTTCCACTACGACACCGTGTACAAGCCCGGCCACAAAAACAAAGCAGACGCGCTTAGCCGGCCTGCACACGTTGCCGCCATCCAAGTTGAAGGGATGAATCCACTCCTCTAGGGACTCTTCACACACGGGTATACCATCGACCCCGAAATTCCCTTGGCAGAAAAGCAGCATCTGCTACAGTGGGACAACGACATCGCGTACCGGAAAGGATCAATGAAGATCTGGGTACCTAATTACTCTCCATTGCGCCAGTACGAAGAATACCACGACTCGAAGAATACCATGACATCCTGTACGCGGGACACTTCAGTAGCAACAAGACGCTTACCGGTATCGCCAAACACTACTACTGGCCCCATATGGCCGATGACGTACAGAAATTCGTCACCTCGTGCACTACATGTCAGCGGATGAAGAGCAGCAAGCAGAAAAAGGCGGGTCTGCTACAGCCTCTTCCTGTCCCAGAATAGCCATGGCAAGAGGTAAGCCTTGACTTCATCACCGGGCTACCAACTACCACAAGCGGTCATGACGCGATCCTCGTCGTCATTGACAAGTTCTCCAAAATGGGACACTTCATCCCGACACACACCACAGCACGCACCGAGGAGACATCACAACTCTTTGTTCGCTACATCATCTCACAACATGGCATTCCAACCACACTCATCTCCGACCGAGACCCTAAGTTCACCAGTAAATTCTGGAAAGAACTGATGTCTCTACTCAGGACCAAACTCGCCATGTCATCCGCCTTCCATCCGCAGACAGATGGACAGACCGAGCGCCTCAACCAAATTGTGGAGCAACTCCTCCGCGCAGCATGCAAGGACGACATCTCCACATGGGACTTGCACCTACCCGTCCTGGAGTTTGCCTACAACAATGCTACTCACGCCGCTACTGGACAGACGCCGTTCTTCCTCTGTTACGGACGCCACTCACTCACACCTTAACAGCCAACCATACCAGCCACAGTCCAACCCGCTCATGATTTCATCACGACCATGCACAAACTTTGGGATCGGACCCACAAGCGCCTTCTCGACATTCAGCAAAAACAGAAGCGCCAAGCCGATCGCCACCGCACAGACCACACCATTACTGTGGGAGACCGAGTACTACTCGACACACGCAATCTTGACATCAGCCATCTCCCATCCAAACTGCGACCTCGCTTCTGCGGGCCTTTTTTCGTTGAAGCACAGGTCACTCTTGTTACCTTCCGCTTACTTTTGCCAGCTACCTGGAAGATTCACAACGCCTTCCATGTCCAAATCTTGAAGCCCTACCGAGATCCCAACACAGTCTTCTCTGGACGCCAACCGCCGCTGCCGCCGCCCGTCCTCGTCTATGATGAACCCGAGTACGAGGTCAAGTCCATGCTTGTTCACCGCCGTCGACGGAATGGCACCGTGGAGCTTCTCATCCGTTGGAATGGTTATGATCCTTCAGAGGATAGTTGGGCCTCTGAATCCGAGATGGATCACGCTCGTCGTCCTCGTCGCGACTACCTTGTCAAGCACGGTGTCATGTCTACCACCCAGCTTTGAGGGGGGGAAGTGTGAGAGTACGACCCCGTTCCATTCCTTTTTCCTTTCCATTTCATTCCTCTTTCCATCTTGATCTATTTGGTTTTTATCTCATTCCATTTGGATTCCTATTTCTCCTTTTCCATAAACCTTTGGTTTATCATGTTATTATCCTTATATCACCGACCAGGCTCGGGATATACTGGTGCGCTATATCTAGCGTAATCCTGCCGTAATTCCTTAAAGCCAATAGCCTCGCCTGGCTATACGCAGGGTGATTCTATCTTCTAGAAGGGTCTATTCCCTTGGGATAAGATAAACCTGGTTACCTGATGTACTTTGGAAGTATAAAAGCGCCTTGTATCAATCGATAGTGCAACCTTTCCTCGACACATTCGATCCTGTGACACTTTCAAGGCCAAGCGCTGCTACATGACGGGCGCTGACGTGACCGTCCTAACAAACCACAAATCGCTACAGTTCATCCGCGCCCAACCGACACTAAATCCCCGATAGATTCGCTGGCTCGATTACCTCGAGTCAAACTTCCACTACAAAGTTACCTACAAACGGGGGGTTAGCAACATCGCCGACGCACTGACCCAACCTTCAGTCCATACTACCGCTGTCCTAATTACACAAGCTATTCCGCTGCTAACTAGCCTATTCACCCACGAATACAGTACCGACCCATTCTTCACCACTAACAATCATCCCCAAAAGGACGGTCAAGCAAGGGGCCTATTACCTAAAATCGGGTACCAATCGGATTTGGGTTCCCACCTATCGTACCCTACAAGAACTACTGATACAGGAGGCACACGACTCGAATTTCTCGGGTCACTACGGCATCGACAAAACTGCCAAATTACCGAGCCGTAATTATTACTGGCCCGACTTGCCAACAGACGTGTAGCAGGACGTCACCTCCTGCGCCACGTGTCAACGCATGAAGTCTTCACGGCTTCGACCTGCGGGATTGCTGCAGCAGCTCGAGCCACCCAGGGGATCCTGGCATTAGGTGACGAAGGATTTCCTCACTAGCCCATTGCAGCTGGTTCAAGCGGTAACGACGCGATTCTCATCGTCGTTGACCGGTTGACCAAGATGGCCCACTTTGCCGCTTGCAAGACGACAATTACTGCCGAGCAGACAGCGAAACTGTTCCTTACGAACATCGTGCAGCTACACGACATTCCTTTGGCAATCATCAGCGATTGCGACCCAAGGTTCACGTTCAACTTCTGGACAAAAACCTGGCAGCAGTATGGCACACGTCTGCATCTGTCCACGGCGTACCACCCGCAATCGGACGGCCAGACTGAGCGCACCAATCAGATGATGGAGCAGCTGATTCTCACATCATGCACAGACCCGGCCCAATGGGAAGACTCCCTTCCCTAGATCGAGTTTGCGTACAACAACGCCCCATCGGTTACGACTACTCAGTCCCCGTTGTTCCTCAATTACGGGATAGACCCGACAACCCCTCTATCGCCACCGATAGAAAATCTGGCACCAAGATCTCAACAGTTTGTTGAAAATCTCAGACTGTCTCAGCAAAAAGCCGCTTATGCCATCCTCAAAGCCAATCAAGGGGCTAAGCAGCAAGCTGACCGACGACACCGAAACTTAACTCTTGCCCTTGGGCAATTGGTCCTACTCGACACCACAAATTTGGGAAATCCCCTCCCAAATAAACTACGACAAAGATTTTGTTGCCCATTCCGCATCATCCGCATGGTGACACCAGTCACCGCCCAGCTGCAACTACCGGTCGACTGGCGAATTCATGATTCCTTTCACGTCAGCCTCCTGCGACCATTCGTCCCGAGTACGACTAATCTCGACCGTTAACACATCAATCCTACGGTCAACCCAGTACTTGAGCCGACGATCGAGCCATCGAAGATTCTCGCTCATCGCGTACGAGGCCATCGAGATGCGGCAACCGTTGATTTCCTTGTACGATGGGTTGATCGCACGACGGACGACGATCTTTGGGTCCGTGCAGCTATGCTAGGTGAACACAAAGTCGTCCGGGACTATTTACACCGACGACATGTCCCGGATGTGGATAGTCTCATCCCGGAAGGGGGGGTGGTGTAAGGAAATTCCTTTTTCCTTACTGGGCTCGACTAGAGTGCGTACGCCCTCGACTCTCGGAAGTCCAGGCTCGGCCAACTTTTTCGGTCCCGAACCATTTCGTGAACTCAAACCTCGACGCGCAGCGCTTCCGTGGCTTTCGCCAACCGAATCGTCCCAACCTGTTCGTGTGGTTCTCGGCTAGCTCTGTTCGTGCCTATAAATACCTAGGCCCTCATTTGTATCGACACTCTTGAATCACGATTCCTTTGTTACACTACCTGTTATTACTCTGATTAATTCATAACAATGTCTCTCGCAAAGTAACATCTGCGACGGGTTACACAGCTCTCCGTTGTCGCAATTATTGCCTTCCGCACCACCACTGGAGCACCTGCACACGAAATTATTGGGCCTCCGCAATTATCTGCCCTTCCTCGCGCTTGCAGATTTGAGTCCGTGTCTCACGTTTCAGCAACCTTGCGGGACGGGCAAAACACACGAAAGGGAGTTACTCAAACTGCCTAGCGATCTTTGGTTTCGCTGATGATTTCGGAGTCTCGTTGGGCTCGTCAGGCCCGCACTATAACCTGCGAAAGTTACTCACGATCGCCACTACCGCGGCTCGTGATTGGAAAGCTGGAGTGCACATCCTATTTGTGGAAGATGTAGCGCAGCGAGCCACAACTCGCCAATAATTGTCCCACAAATTCCAACCCCAATCCATCTTGAGGAAAATCACATCACTTCGAAAATCGCCCCCAACGCGGCATCTCCTTTCTCACCCACCATTATTTCCACTTTCTATGGCTCCTCCCCTCGCCTCAGCTTGTTCACTCGCTCTCGGGTCAAATTAGACCCACACTTTCGCTTCGTTTCAAAGCCAAAATCATCAGGCTCATACCAGGCAGTAGAACCGAACGGCTGCTTCAGATGTCAGTTAACGGCCTTCATAGCATATAGGAAGCAGGTCTGCGAATACACCTAGATCTAGCTCCGAAACGGTAGTTCAGAGCGGTCGAAATTCTCCTTCGCATTGCAAGCAAGCTGCCGCTGCCCCCGCTGCCCCCGATGCCCCCGCTACCCCCGCTGCCTGCAGTGATTACGTTCTGAACAACCCCCGCGACACCTGTGGGCGGAAACCATCGGATTGCTGTTCTTCACCGCGAGTTAACGTTCAAGCGAAGGAAAAGGAGAAGCAGGATGGAGCCTTCAGGGCTACCAGTGTTCCAGGCTCCTAAACGATTGGCGATTGCGAGCGACGCCATCGTGGCTGTCGCATTCGTCGCACTCGCGACTGCCGGCGTCGCCAACGCTGGTACGAAAAAATCTGCAGATCAAAGACTCAGATAAGTCTCCTCTCAGGCCAGCTGCAACCTTGAATTCTCCTCTCTAACCGCAACCGCCTTTTGCTGTTGTTAAGATACACATAATACTCTCCTCCTCATCTCGCTCGGATCCCATCGTCTGTGTTTCAGCCCGACCGCAACGTCGAGCTTTCCTCTCTAACCGCAACCGCCTTTCGCTGTTGTTCGATACACATGATAATATTTGTCTCCTCATCTCGCACCCCTGACCCCATCGTCTGTGTTTCCGGCCGACCGCAACGTCGAGCTTTCCTCTCGAACAGCAACCGCCTTTCGCTGTTGTTAGATACACATGATAATATCCGCCTCCTCATCTCGCACCCCTGACCCCATCGTCTGTGTTTCAGGCCGACCGCAGCCTCGAATTCTTCTCTCCAGCACCGGCAGTAAGCTCGCTTGCTACTAGCAACTTGTGTGGTACTTGAAGTACTCGAACCCAGTACCAGGGACTCCCAGAAATGAAAGGATGTTCCCAGTCTAGCGGCTTTGCCTTTCAGACTCTAACCCAGTACCAGGGACTCCCAGTCTAGCGGCTTTGCCTTGCAGACGCTTATCCCGCCTTCCGTTTATGCGTCACTCTGCAATTTCAGTCTGTACGCTTCGCAGAGAAAACTGCTCTAACGAGAGCGTTTGCACACGTGCAAGCGTCACGTCTTGCGATGCGTAAGCTTCTCGATTCCCGTTGCGTCACCATTGGCCGGTATCGAGTCATCCCACGGATCTTTTATGGCGACGATTGGCGGCGAGTGTCAGCTGTGCGACGCACGTGTCGTACATCCGTCTCTCTTCATCTCCCCTGTCTCTCCTCCTTCCCCCCGTCTCACATCCTTCCCCCGTATCTGTCCCTTTCCCCCCGCCCTGTGGTGCCCGTGCCAGCTGCGACGATCGTCATCTCCGTGATCATCGGCGTGCTCCTCGTTGCGCTCGTCGCGCTCGGAGTCAAGATGCTGCTCGACAGATCCAGTGAGCTTCGTAACCCCAGACACCCAAACCCCGTTCTTCGCTTCTCGCCGTGACTCTTGGAATCAACTCAAGAGTCACCTTGCGCGCTCCTCGTTGCGCTCGTTGCGCTCGTCACGCTCGTCGCGCTCGGGATCAAGATGCTGCTCGACAGATCCAGTGAGCTTCCTTCTTCCATACACCCTCCTGGATTACAGAGCTCCGTTCCTTCTTTTTCTCGCCTTCTTCACCTCTTCACCCCTCCCTTCGCCTCTTCACCTCTTCACCCCTCCCTTCCCCTCTGCACCTCTTCACCCCTCTCTTCACCTCTGCACCCCTCCCTTCGTTGGTGGGGCACTGGGATCGTCCTAGTTGAGTGTGGGAGGGCTACAGGTGTCGTCCTGGGGGGGTGTGGGTGCGCTGACCCACCATATAAACATGCCCTTATAACCCAGTCGGTAACGGGCTGGGCCAACACCCTCCCCCTCTTCACCTCTTCACCCCTCCCTTCACCTCTTCACCCCTCCCTTCCCCTCTTCACCCCTCCCTTCCCCTATTTCTTCTCCCTTCCTCTTTTCACGTCTTCACCTCCCCCCTCCCCTATTCTCGTCTCCCTTCCGCCCTCCCCCTACCATCAGAAGCTTCCAAGAAGTCAGCCCAGTCCGAAGGCAAGACGTCTGCTACAACCACCACCAGCCGCAGCAGCAGCGCCAGCGGAAGAAGGATGCGCGGGGGGGGAGGCGCGGTGCATGTGGTGGGCGGAACTGACGAGGACGACGCGGACATCCCGCGCACACGGGCGGAGAAGTGGACCCTGGCGGAGGTGGCGGAAGCAACGGGGGAGTTCGCGCAGGAGAATGTGATAGAGGGGGAGGGGCAGAGCGTGGTGCTCCGGGGGAGGGCGCGGGACGGCAGGGAGGTGGCGGTGAAACGCTGCAAGCAACCCCTGCCGGAAAGCCAGGCGCTTTTCCTCCGAGAGGTGTGTGAGACTGCTGTGGATTCGTCTTTTCTGAGGGAGGTGGGATTTCTCCAGGGACGAGACTTCCCCAGGGACGAGACTTCCCCAGAGATACTGCGACGCCTGGTAGATACTGCCGCTCTTTCAGCACAAGGCTCTTGCCCCGTCAGCAGAAGGCTCTTGCCCCGTCAGCAGAAGGCTCTTGCCCCGTCAGCAGAAGGCTCTTGCCCCGTCAGCAGAAGGCTCGCCCCGTCAGCAGAAGGCTCTTGCACCGTCAGCAGAAGGCTCTTGCCCCTTACAACCCCACCCCTGCCTCTTTCCCCCACCGTGTCGTCGCTCCCCACCCCACCCCCCTGGTACCAGGTCATGCTGGCGATCAGCCTGCTTTTGAGTCGACTCAAAAGCAGGGTCATGCTGGTGACCTGCCCGCGCCACCCCAACCTGCTCCCCCTCATCGACTGCTGCTCATGTTTACCTCTCCTCCAACCCCCCCAACCCCCTCCCCACACCACCCCCCTCGCACCAGGTCATGCTGGTCACGAGTCAGCGCCATCCCAATCTCCTTTCGCTCATCGGCTACTTCTCATGTGTCTCTCTCTTCCTACTTTCATCTTCCTCTGCTTCCCTTCCCACCCCTCCCCTTCCCCCTCCCCCTCCCCTTCCCCCTTCCCCCCCCCCCTCCCCTTCCCCCTTCCTCCTCCCCCCTCCCCCCTCCCCCCTCATCAAGTCATGCTGGTCACCAGTCTGCGCCACCCCAACCTGCTGTCGCTCATCGGCGACTGCGCCAGTCCCTCCCTTCCTGCTCTCACTCACCAGCCTCTGCTTTCTTTCCCTCATCGCCGGCTGCTCGTCTCCCTCTCTTCCGACTCTAACCTGACTCTGCTTCCTTTCCCCACCCCTCCGTTCCCCCCTCCCCCCTTCCCCCTCCCCCTACCCGCTCCCCCATCCCCCCCACCCCTCCATCAGGTGATGCTGGTAACCAGTCTGCGCCACCCCAACCTGCTGTCGCTCATCGGCTACTGCGACGAGGGCAGCGAGCAGATCCTCATTCTCGAGCACATGCCCTACGGCTCCCTCGCCTCCTGGCTGCGCCCACATGCTGATGCCGGTGCGTTGCTTGTCACACATGCTTCTAGGCTGCTAGAAATTGAGTTTTGAGGCGCCTCAAAACTAGCGTTGCTTGCCGCACATGCTTCTAGGCTGCTAGAAATTGAGTTTCGAGGCGCCTCAAAACTAGCGTTGCTTGCTGCACATGCTTCTAGGCTGCTAGAAATTGAGTTTCGAGGCGCCTCAAAACTAGCGTTGCTTGCCGCACATGCTTCTAGGCTGCTAGAAATTGAGTTTCGAGGCGCCTCAAAACTAGCGTTGCTTGCCGCACATGCTTCTAGGCTGCTAGAAATTGAGTTTTGAGGCGCCTCAAAACTAGCATTGCTTGCTGCACATGCTTCTAGGCTGCTAGAAATTGAGTTTTGAGGCGCCTCAAAACTAGCGTTGCTTGCCGCACATGCTTCTAGGCTGCTAGAAATTGAGTTTCGAGGCGCCTCAAAACTAGCGTTGCTTGCCGCACATGCTTCTAGGCTGCTAGAAATTGAGTTTCGAGGCGCCTCAAAACTAGCGTTGCTTGCCGCACATGCTTCTAGGCAGCTAGAAATTGAGTTTCGAGGCGCCTCAAAACTAGCGTTGCTTGCTGCACATGCTTCTAGGCTGCTAGAAATTGAGTTTTGAGGCGCCTCAAAACTAGCGTTGCTTGCCGCACATGCTTCTAGGCTGCTGGAAATTGAGTTTTGAGGCGCCTCAAAACTAGCGTTGCTTGCCGCACATGCTTCTAGGCTGCTAGAAATTGAGTTTCGAGGCGCCTCAAAACTAGCGTTGCTTGCCGCACATGCTTCTAGGCTGCTAGAAATTGAGTTTTGAGGCGCCTCAAAACTAGCGTTGCTTGCCGCACATGCTTCTAGGCTGCTAGAAATTGAGCCGCTTTGTGCCCTCCCCTTAAAGCCAGCTGCTGACTTTTGAGTCGACTCAAAAGTCACCCCTTTATGCCAGCTGCTGCCCTCCTGGCTGCGCTGACGTGCTACCGCTGGTACGTTCCACGCCCCATGTGCCGGTATGCTCCTCGCATCATCCCAGCCTTCTCTCATTCTCCACCACATGCCCTACGGCCCCCTCGCCTCCTGGCTGCGCCTGCCTGCTGCTGCCGGTAATATTGAGCCGCCTCACTTGCAGCTATGCCCCCAATTGTGGCAGGAAGCCATCCCGCCTCGTACACACATGCCCCTTGCCTCCCGTGCTGCCTCCCATGCTGCCTCCTGTCGTGTAACCAGAGGGTAGAATTAACTACTGAAGTGTCACACTGGGCCTTCCTTTTCCTCACATACCATCCTCTCCCCTATTTCTTTCCCCTTCCCGTTTGTTTTTAACAAGAGACAGCCGACCACCTCTCAGCTTTGACCAGAGGGTGAAGATCGCTGCTGATGTGGCACGCGCAGTAGTGTTCCAACATTCTTACTATTCCTCCCCCTCTCCCCCTCTCCCCCTCTCCCCCCCTCCCCTCCCTGCTTCCTTGCTGCTTTCCTCTCAACAGGAGACAGCCGCCCACCTCTCAGCTTTGACCAGAGGGTGAAGATCGCTGCTGACGTGGCACGAGCAGTGGAGTTCCTTCACTCGCAGCCCAAGCCCATCGTGCACCGCGACATCAAGACCGAAACCATCCTGCTGGACGAAAGTCTCAATGTACGTAATGCTGGAAGTCAACAGAAGTTGACAGAAGTCAACAGAGGTCAACAGAAGTCAGCCAGAGTGGCACACGTAGTGGAGTTCCTTCACCCCCAGCCTAAGCCGGTTCAGCACCGCGATATCAAGACAGAGACCATCCTGCTGGACGAGAACCTCAATGTAAGTGACGGCTTTAGGTCAACAGAAGTCAACGGAAGTCAACAGAAGTCTACCAGAGTGGCACGAGCAGTGGAGTTCTTCACTCGCAGTTCAAGCCCATCGTGCACCGCGACATGAAGACATAAACCATCCTGATGGGGCGAAAAGCTCAATGTAAGTGATGCTGGAAGTCAACAGAAGTCAACTGAAGTCAATGCAAGTAGACGAAGGTCAATCGGAGTCAACGAGGTCAGCGTGGCACATGCAGTGGAATCAACCGAAGTCAACGTGGGACGAAAAGCTCAGTGTAAGTGATGCTGGAAGTCAACAGAAGTCAACAGAAGTCAACTGAAGTCAATGCAAGTAGACGAAGGTCAATCGGAGTCAACCGAGTCAACATGGCACATGCAGTGGAATCAACCGAAGTCAACGTGGAACATGCCATGGAGTCAGCCGAAGCCCATCGTGCACTGTTACACCAAGACCAAAACGTCCTGTAGGACCAGCAATTCAAGGTGAGCTAAGAAGGAAGTCAATGGATGTGAAGCATTTAAAGCCAAACATCTGCAATTGTTGACCTTCTATGTGCTTGTGCTGTTCTATGGTTGTGCGTGTGAGCATCACAGGTAAGTTGGTTTTGAGAATTCTCAAAAACCAACTTGATTCTATGGTTGTGTATGTGTGCATCGCAGGCAAAGCTAGGGGGCTTGGGGACACGCAAGCATCTCCCGGGGGAGTCAAGCCGCGTGCGTGTGCAGCGGAGGAAGGGGTATCTGGACCCCGAGTACTGCCAGACGTTTGTCGTCACCACCAAGGCCGAGATATTCGCGTGAGTTTTTCCATCAATACATGTGTAAGTATGGTGTATACGGGCATTCCCAAGTGCGCGTGCAGCAGAAGATGGGGTGCCTGGACCATGGATACTGCCAGACCTTCGTCATCACCACCAAGGCCAAGATATTCGCATGAGTAAGGAGCAGTACAGATGTGCATATGTAAGTAATGTATTACATGGGGTGTACTGAATGGGGTGTACTAAATGGGGTGTACTGAGTGGGGTGTACTGAATGGGGTGTACTGAATGGAGTGTACTGAATGGGGTGTACTGAGTGGGGTGTACTGAGTGGGGTGTACTGAATGGGGTGTACTGAGTGGGGTGTACTGAATGGGGTGTACTGAATGGGGTGTACTGAATGGGGTGTACTGAGTGGGGTGTACTGAATGGGGTGTACTGAGTGGGGTGTACTGAATGGGGTGTACTGAATGGGGTGTACTGAGTGGGGTGTACTGAATGGGGTGTACTGAATGGGGTGTACTGAATGGGGTGTACTGAATGGGGTGTACTGAATGGGGTGTACTGAATGGGGTGTACTGAATGGGGTGTACTGAATGGGGTGTACTGAATGGGGTGTACTGAATGGGGTGTACTGAATGGGGTGTACTGAATGGGGTGTACTGAATGGGGTGTACTGAATGGGGTGTACTGAATGGGGTGTACTGAATGGGGTGTACTGAGTGGGGTGTACTGAATGGGGTGTACTGAGTGGGGTGTACTGAATGGGGTGTACTGAATGGGGTGTGAAGACATGGAATGCTGCTGCGCACGACATCAGCACCTGCAAGGCTGAAGCACTTTGCACTCAGCACACAGCCTTCTGGCCATGTACTAAGTTCACAAGTAGTTCAAAGTCACTTACACATTGAAATTCGTATATTTCCTTTCAACCGTTGCAGCATCGGAGTGGTCATCCTCGAGCTTATAACGGGTCGGCCGCCCGTGGTGGAAGAGGAAGTGGTGGTGAAGGCGGGTCACAACACCAAGCGAGCTGTAACTCTCGTGCAATGGGTAAGCTGTTATCAGGTGTAGCTGTTGCACCACTAGTTGTTTTTCTCGTAATGCCAGAGCACTATATACAACTAATCTTATCCATCTTTCCCAATAAAGCAAGCCCACGCATTTTCCTACCGATCACTCCACCCTTGGATCCCTCTCACACAGGCCATACCCAAGATCAAGGATGAGAACTACGGCCTAGTCGTGGACGAAAGGCTTGAAGAGTACGACGCTGACAGCTTGGAGCTCTTCATGAAGATTGCAATGCAGTGTGTCAATCCACTGCGCAGGAATCGCCCTGACATTGGCCCGATAGCAGCGTGGTTGAGTGACCTCTCCAACCCTAATGCTGCTTCGATAAAAGCTTTAAAGGCCGCGCTGAAATAACGTGCTGTTGGGCGTGGTGGGCATGAGTTGAGTTGAATAAAGGTGGCAGTTCTAGGCATGCATGCAGACACGTTTAGATATGGAAAGATGCATTCTTAGGCACGCATGCCAAGCACATGTTGAGCTGAATAAAGATGCATGCCTAGGTACACATGCGTATCTATGATTTTCTTAGCATTTGAACATATCACCTTGCCATGTATGCTTCACTGTCAGGAAATGCTTGTCATAAACTAGAATGAATCTATTAAGACAAGGGAGAACATGGGAGATATAGCGTTTGGGTTGTACCCCCTAAGAACATACCCTATCTAGCCTATAACTTCTATATAACAATGTATGTATGGAGAAGTTGACACAACCCCTAGACCTAACTGCAAGCAGTGCCGCTGATGATCTCTAAGCGGAAGCGCCTTAGTAAAGATATCAGCTGTGTTGGCACCGGAGGCCAAGTGTACTACGCGGGCCTGGCGACACAGCTGGAGCTCACGCAGGAGGAAGTATCGCAGCTGGATGTGCTTCGCTCTGCCCTCAAATCGAGGCTCCTGACACAGGAGGATCATGGCCCTGTTGTCAGCATACAGAACCGGGGCAGAGCTAGGCCGCTCACCTAAGTCAATGAGCAAGAAGGTCAGCCAGCGGAGCTCATGTGTCGCCATGGCACCGGCGTAGATCTCAGCCTCGCAACTAGACTGAGCAACAGACGAGGAGCGAGTGGACCTCCACGAGATGGCACCAGAACCAAGGCTGAAGCAGTAGCCCTGGGAGGACCTGAGAGTCTCAGCGTCGTCTGCCCAAGAAGCGTTTGTGTGCCCGGTAAGGACCACTGGCCTGCGTCCTCCCAGCACTAGCCCCATGCCCGATGTACTCGCAAGATAACGCAAAACCCTCTTAGTGGCAGACCAGTGCTGTGGTCGGTGTCTGCCTGTGGCCACAAAGCGGGCCAGGATGCTGAGAGGGTATGCGAGATCTGGACGAGTGCAAGTCATCAGGTATATGAGACAACCCACCAGCTCGACGTAAGGACCACTAGGCTCTGCGGACTCCTCGTGTGAGAGTACGACACCGTTACACCGATTTCCCCTTTCCATATTTCATATATATTTCATTCCTCTTTCACTCCTGATTCATTTAGTCTTTATGTCATCTCATTTGGTTTCCTATTCCTCCATTTCCATTATCCTTTAGTTTATCCTCTTATTATAATTATATCACTGACCAGGCTCGGGATGTACTGGCGTGCCATATCTAGTGTAATCCTGCCGTAATCCCTTAAAGCCAATAGCCTCTCGTGGCTATACGCAGGGTGATTCTATTTGTAGAAGGGTCTATTCCCTTTGGATAGGATAAACCTAGTTATCTGATATACAATAGAAGTATAAAAGCACCTTGTACTGATTGATAGTGCGACATTGAGCAAACCTCATTCGATCCTGTGACACCTCGGGAGCTGGAGCTGAGAGCCTGTGGTCTACCGGCAGAGGTGTGGGCTATGCGGAGGAGAACTGAAGACCGAACCTCTGAAGGACCTGGCGCACCAAGTGTGACTGTATAAGAGTGATGGTGCGCGCTGCTCTGTCCCTAGAGATCTGCAGGCCAAGGTAGCGGCGCAGCTCTCCCATGTCAGTGCAGGTGTGTTTCCTCAGCAGCTCAGCCTTCACGGAGGTCAGCGCGTCTCTGTCTGCAGTAGCAAAGACTAAGTCATCTACGTAGACAAGGATGTAGAACGGAATCTGGCCACCACGAACGAAGAGCGAAGGGTCAGCAGAGGACGAAAAGAACTGCAGGTCAGCTAGCGTAGCACGCAACGTGTCGTGCCACTCACGGAGCACCTGTCGTAGGCCGTAGACAGGGAGCCGGAGGAGCCACGAGGTCCCTAGAGAGAAAGTACCATTGAAGCCCTGAGGACGGCGCAGTTAGACCTGCTCATGTAGGCTGCCCTGAAGGAAAGCAATTGAGAAGTCGAGAGAATGGAGCTCGTAGTCACGCTGTGCTGCTACGTGTAGCAGCGCCCGAAGAGTAGTCATCTTCGGGGTCAGTGCAAAGGTCTGAAAGAAGTCCACCCCCTCTCGCTGACTGAAGCCTCTAACCACGTAGCGCGCCTTGAAAACATGCGGCCCTCCAGGGGGGCGCTTCACCTTGAAGAGCCAGCGGCCATCGACTACGTTCACCCCAAGTGGGGGAACTGCGTCGATGTAGGTGCCGGTGGATCTCCAAGATGCCATCTCCGACTCCATGGCAGCTATCCACTAAGAGGCCCACGGTCCCGAGGTCACCTCAGCGTAGGTGCGAGGGGTCGGGATGTCAAAAGCGTCGGGGTCACCCTCAGGGACTAGGAGCATGGAGCAGAGATGTGGACCAGCCTCTGAGAGGAAAGCAAGCTCGTACTGCCGGTCCTCCAAGACGTCACTGCCGAGGGCAGGAGCACCCCCGACGGACGGAGGACAGACAGGTTCAGAGACCAGAGCGGCAGCGAAGTCAAGTCGGCGAGAAGAAGCAAATTCAGCGACAGCAGCGACAAGAGTGTCAAGACTGGAGACAGGAACAGACAGGTCGGTAACGAGGGAGGCAAGGACCCGAGGAACAAAGGAACGAGCGGCACGAAGGTAGTCAGACAGAGGGGGAGGCGCGACAGTGAGCGACGTTAAGGAGGCGAAGGCAAAAGGGGAGGACGAGACGCATGGGAACGAATCAACATAGGGAGAGGCGGGACGAGCACGAGAGGGACGGCGAGACCAGACATGAGACAGAGGCGTTAGGTCGGGAGACAGAGGAGGAGTAACAGGAGGGGAACGAGGGGGGAAGCGAGCCGGGGACGAGTCCGGCGGAGGAAACACAAGACCGTGGACAGGAAGAGCCGAGGAGACAGCGAGGGAGGCGCATGCGAGCGGTCAGGGGAGGGAAGGCCGAGCAGGCGAAGGGCGGACACTGGCGGCGACTGCTGCTGCTGCTGCTGCTCGACGCCGACACCTGGACCACCTGCTGCACCACTGCTACCTCCGGTACACTCCACGCTAGCACCCCCAGAACGAGAAACCTCTCCAGCGCCGTTGCCACCCCCGAGCCCGCCAGGACAAGCCACGACAGGAGCCCCACGAGCACCCTCCTCAACTCCAGCACCCCCTCAATCCACGAACGGCTGCGGCTGCTACGGTGGCGGTGGCGGCGGCGGCGATTGCAACGAGGGAGGAGGAGATACCGGGGGAGGGACAGGCGGCGCAAATGGCGCCGCGGGGCCACCAAAGTCAGCCGAGTCCTCGACCGGGGCAACCGACGGGAGGGGAGTGACGTGAGACACACCAGACGGAGCAGGACGGGGATGGAGGGGAGCAGGGGCGACCGGGGAAGTGGGAACCAGAAACAGGGGGGCGGGGAATCGGGAGACCTCGGTGAGGAAATTAGTGGTAAAAAGAGACAGACTTGTCGAAAATGGCGTCACGGGGCGGAAGCGGGTGGGTGGACCTACCTATTCAGGATACCAAGTCATAAACTAGAATGAATCGATTAAGACAAGGGAGAACAGGGGAGATATAGCGTTTGGGTTGTACCCCCTAAGAACATACCCTAACTAGCCTATAACTTCTACATAACAATGTAAGTATAAGTTGACAATGCTGCGAGACCCCCATTTTCGAGGTGCCTCTAAACTAAACGTACCGTATCTTCTTACCATGTATACTTCATATCAAAGTTAACGAATAACTAGAACCATGGCATACAAGGGAATATAACCTAGTGTGTTGTACTTTCTAAGGCACAACCCTATGTACTCTATAACAACATACAAATATATGTTTGACACACCCCTTAAATTGGATAGGGGCAGTGCCTGGTGAGAGACAAGCAGCTCAGGGTGGCACTACTAGTCCAACCTCTAAGACAAGGGTCTGAAGACAAGTCAAACCAGTACAGACAAGGTAAGAGCAAAACCAAGGTGGCACTACTAGTCCAGCCATTGTGAAGAGGCCAAAGGCCAGTCAGGGTAATATATATAAAGGTCTGTACACAATCAAGGTCCTATCAAATAAGAGGCTACTGGAACAAGACCAAGCTGTACACAGTGCCGCTGATGAACTTTAGGTGCAAGCGCCTTCGTAAAGATATCAGCTGTGTTGGCACCAGAGGCCAAGTGTACTACGTGGGCCTGGCGACGCTGCTGTCGCTCGTGCAGGAGGAAGTAACGCAGCTGGATGTGCTTCGTTTTGCCCTCGACTCTGGGCTCCTCACACAGGAGGATCAGCGTACAGGACCGAGGCAGAGCTAGGCCACTCACCTAACTCTGTGAGCAAGAAAGTCAGCCAACGAAGCTCCTGTGCCGCCATGGCACCAGCGTAGATCTCAGCCTCATAGATAGACTGGGCAATAGACGACGAGCGGATGGACCGCCATGAGACAGCACCTGCACCAAGGCTAAAGCATTAGCCCTGGGAGGACCAGAGAGTCTCGGCGTCGTCGGCCCAAGAAGCGTCTCTGTGCTTGGTAAGGACCACTAGTCTGCGTCCTCCTAGCACTAGCCCCAAGCCCGATGTACTTGCTAGATAGCGTAAAACCCTCTTAGCTGCTGACCAGTGCTGTGGTCGGTGTCTGCCGGTGGCCACAAAGCAAGCCAGGATGCTGAGAGGGTATGCGAGATCTGGACGAGTGCAAGTCATCAGGTACATGAAGCAACCCACTAGCTCTGCGTAAGGGCAACTAGGCTCTACAGCCTCCTCCGGGACTGGAGCAGAGAGTCAGTGGTCTACTGATAGAGGGGTGGGTTGTGCAGAAGAAAACTGAAGGCCGAACCTCTGAAGGACCTGGCGCACCAAGTGTGACTGTGAGAGAGTGATGGTGCACGCTGCTCTGTCCCTGGAGATCTGCAAGCCAAGGTAGCAGCGTAGCTCTCCTAGGTCTGTGCAGGTGTCTCTCCTCAGCTGCTCGGCCTTCACAGAGGCTAGCGCGTCTCTGTCCGCAGTAGCAAAGACCAAGTCATCTACGTAGCCAGGGATGTAGAACGGAGTTTGGCCAGAACTGACGAAGAGCGAGGGGTCTGCAGACGACAGGAAGAACTGCAAGTCAGCAAGTGTAGCACACAGCGTGTCGTGCCACTCACAGGGCGCCTGTCGCAAGCCGTAGACGGGGCGCCGGAGGAGCCACTCGGTGCCAGGGGGAAAGGTACCGGGGAAGCCCTGGGGGCGGCGCAGCTAGACCTGCTCGTGTAGACTGCCCTGAAG